CTTTCCTTTCCTTTCCTTTCCTTTCCTTTCCTTTCCTTTCCTTTCCTTTCCTTTCCTCTTCTGTTTTTATTTTAGAGAGAGAGCAAGAGCAGGGGAGAGGGGCAGAGGTAGAGAGAGAGAGAGAGAGAGAGAGAGAGAGAGAGAGAGAGAATCCTGGGCATGCTCCACGCTCAGCATGGAACCCAGCATGGGGCTCGATCCCATGGCCCTGGTATCATGACCTGAGCTTGGACACTCAAGCTCAACCGACTGAGCCACCCAGGTGCCCTGGAGCCAGAGTTTTCTTTGTGAAACTTGCTTCCTAGAGTGAACTGAGGGGATATTTAACCCTTTCTCTTACTGTGAGCTCTACTGTTGTTTGGCTACACATTCTACAAGAATAGCAATTGTTGAATGCTAGACAGCTTTCTGTTTACTCAGAAGCAATCATTACTTCATTGTGAGACTCAAACTGTGTGTAAACTGTGTGTGTGTGTGTGTGTGAGAGAGAGAGAGAGAGCGAGAGAGAGGGAGGGAGGGAGGGAGGGAGAGAGAGAGAGAGAGGGAGGGAAAGAGGGAGAGAATGAGAGAGAGAGAGAGAGAGAGCACTGATTAACAGTTAGAAATGGTTTAGCTCAAAAATTATTGTGGATTTGATTTTTGATTTGAGTTTCGTTCACCAAAGTAACTTGGTAAAATTTGTTTTTGTTTCATTGATTTTTCTGATTATATACACTGCATTTCTTGGCTATGTCTACTACTTATATAAATTCACTGTGACATACTGCAAGGATAGCAGGCTGACTATACTTTGAAATTATCCATCAAACTTTGGAAATGTCAATTTATATAGAAACAAAGGAGCAAACAGAATCCAGAGAACTGAGGCTAATTGGAATCTTAAATTATGTTTCTTTTCAGAGGTGGCTACCTGACCCATCAGAAAGATGGAGTTAGCTGAATTTAGCAAGTTTACCTTAAGTGTGTAGATTCCACAAGTGTGCGGCATTGTTTCATTGAGGGATTCATTAAATCTATTGATAGCAGCCCTGCCAGCTAAGTAGCTTCCTGCTTGGACCTGTTCACAAGGAGCTCCTGTTTGTCATTTGGTTGCA